ACCCGGAGCACTCTCTGAAGCCTGGTTATGAATATAGAACCACATGCATTAGAGAAATACTTTACTGACAAGTGTAATATTGTTACACAGAGAACTGCATGGGGTAGCGTGATTAGTCCTATGCTTTCCTGAAGTTTTTGTCATGCTGAGTATCTTTTGGATATATTCCTGCAATTCCGAATGCCTTAACTTGCTTACTACTTTGAAAGAGCGGCATAGTTCTACCATATGGATTTATTTGCTGTGTCACAGTCTGGACTAACAATGCCATGAATATGATCCTTATGAAGCATTTCCCGCTCACTATTTACTAGTTGCCTCAGAGAAGAACAATCAAAGAAATTGTCTGCTATTAAACAGATGCACTGAACCAAGGTTTCTTTTATTTCAGATTTTACATTCCTGCATGCTGTATACTTTTGAAGAGCAAGGAATGGCAAGGTCTCAGCACCTTAGTGCTGAATTTTATTGTCACACCTGAACAGCTCTCTACCATTTGGAGAATATTGACAGGAATAACAACATATCCTGAGGTGTTTAAGTTTTCAAAGATGAGAAAATCTATATTCTCTTATGGTCAGCTAAAGTTAAGGAGAGAAAGGAAAGTGCATGGGTTTAAGGGGGTTTTGTCTTCCCAACCTAACTGGTCCTGACTACATATCATTATCTTAATGATAATCTTTATCCTGATGTTAGACAAAATGAACAGTTCACACTTGGTCAGAAAATTTTCTAGTTTAAGAGAAAAATGCTATACAACATATAGTTCTAAAGAAAAATGCTAAACAAACAAATACCACTCAAAATGCCAGAAGGCTCCATGATAGGGTTGCCTTGGAACACTAAGAAATGGATGGTCTCTGGAGGCAGAATAAGAGCTCTGAAGACTGAAAAGTTCCATCCAAGTGCCACGTGCTCAAGAAGAAAGGTAGGAATTAAAATGTTTTGAAGTCTCTGTGGTTGGAATTCAATGAAGATTTTTTCCTGCAGGAAATAACACCTTGAGCACTTTAGTAATTGGTCCACTCCATCACCTTTGCTGCCATTATCTACAAGATGAATGTACACGCTGCCAGAAGAGGTAGACCTGACCGCTTTTCTTTTTTCCTGGTTATTTGTGCATGCACTGTCACTGTGGGTTAAAGAGACCCAGGGAACTGACCTGGCTGAAGAATAATCTCTTTTCTGGCTAAACCAGTTTTCAGCTGGATTGTTTTCCTGATGTAATTCTTGTGTCACCTGCCACACAAAGTCTAATGGCTGTCTAAGCACAGGCATGGAAATGCTTCTCCAGTTTGTCATTTCCGAAATTTGCACAGCTTTTATGATACAATTAGCACACTATGTGTTCTGTGATATGGAATGTCAGATGTTTTATGATACAGTTCACACAGCACGTACTGTGTGACCCACACCATGTGTTGTGTGTTGTGTGACTGGATTCTTGTGCAGAATCCTTGTGTTTGACAGATAGTTGATATATTCATATTGCACTGAATATTTGACATATTCATATTGCATTGAATATTTGACCTCATTTCTTATTTTGAGAATAATTTGTCATATGCATATATGCACAGATATTGTACTGCTGTTGATGGAAAAGAATTTAGCTTGCATTCGTTGTGGAAGTCAAATAAGGTACTGTCATGGTTTAAGCCCAGCCGGCAACAAAGCACCACAAAGCCGTTCGCTCAGTCCTCCTTCCAGCTAGGATGGGATGAGGAGAAAATATAAAGAAAAGCTCATGGGTCGAGACAAGGACAGGGAGGGATCACTTCCCACTTATGGTCATGGGCAAAAGACAGACTCAACTTGGGGAAAAAACAAAATCAGTTTCATTTACTACCAATCAAATCAAAACACGGATAATGGGAAGTAAAACCAAATCTTAACACACCTTTCTCCCACCCCTCCCTCCTTCCCGGCTCAACTCCACACCCGGTTCTCTCTATCTCCTCCCCTGCAGCAGCGCAGGGGAAGGGGAATGGCGGTTGGGGTCAGTTCGTCACACATTATCTCTGCCACTCCTTCCTCCTCAGGGGAAGGACTCCTCACTCTTCCCCTGCTCCAGTGTGGGGTCCCTCCCACAGGAGACAGTCCTTCACAAACTTCTCCAGCGTGAGTCCTTCCCATGGGCTGTAGTCCTTCATGAACTTTTCCAGCGTGGGTCCTTTCCACAGGCTGCAGTCCTTCAGTCACAAACTGCTTCAGCGCGGGCTTTCCCATGGAGTCACGGCCATCTTCAGGGGTATTCACCTTCTCCAGCATGGGGTCCTCCACAGGCTGCAGGTGGGCATCTGCTCCCCCGCTCCCCTCCATGGGCTGGGGGGGGGACAGCCTGCCGTCTCACCACGGGCTGCAGGGGCATCCCCTCCTCCGGTGTACCTCCTCCCCATCCTTCTTCACTGACCTTGCTGTCTGCAGAGATGTTCCTCTCACATTCAAATCCCACTACTCACTGCAGGTTCTACTTCTTAAATCTGTTCTCCCAGACGTGCTACCACCATCACTGATAGGCTCGGCCTTGGCCAGAGGTGGGTCCAACTTGGAGCTGGGGGAGGTGGGGGAGCTTCTAGCAGCTTCTAGGAGCCACCCCTGCAGCCCTTCTCCCACTACCAAATCCCTGCCACATAAACCCAATACAGGTACCCATTAGTGTTAATCATAATTCCTTTCTAATTTGACTGATTTTCTCCTACATCAAAAAGGGGCATCATACTAACTTTCTATCCATCAGGCAGTAACCACTGGATTCTGTTTCCTGCATCAAAATTCTGTGAAGATTCTCTGAAGCTCTAAAAAACATCCCATCGCACACTGCCAGCTACTTAGTACTTTAACTGACATTAATCTGAACTTAATCTAGATTTAGAACAGTATGGCACAATGTGTATCATTTTTTATTTACTCAATAACAGCCTCCTATTTTCTCATCCTTCAGACCAAGGGCGGGGGGTACTATATATATGTATATATGGGCAGGAACGGTCAACAGCTTCTTAAGTCTTGCAGAAAATTGTATTTCTAGGTAAGTAACACATCCTACTTTGCAGGATTGAACTATTGCTTTTCTTCATGGTGCCAATAGTGATAGACCTAATGGTAGTCTGAGATGTCAGGTAACAGTGAAGACCATTCCCTTGGTTTAGCTGTTATCATTAGGTAGATCTGGGCAGCACCCTGCTTTGGGTGCTAATGAATGGATTTCTGCTTAGCTCTCCAATGCATGAAGAACCTTGGTGCCTAACTCAACTTATCAAATTCCACCCAGAGACACAGTAAGCATTTTTAAGCTGCACTGCACCGTGCCCCACTGCTTTGTGTACACAGCTGAGGGACTGTGTATATATTAATTATTGAAATAAATATATGAATTACTGAAGACATAAGCTAAATTGATCTATCTGGCATTAATCAGAGCTAAAACAACCAGAAAGACCTCCTTTGAACTCCTGATTGGCATAGCCAAATGGAAAGTTGTTGAGCATTGACCATCACAGTCTATCACTGAAGTAAATGCTCATTTTCTTAAGTTCAGTTTGAAGGATGCCTACTAGCGATCTCTTAACACTTGCCATTTATGTAGCACACCAACTGGGAAAAACATCTGTTCTTAGACAAAATGTGGCAGAGTGGTTTCTTTCCCTTTACTGCAGAATCAGTATCCATGAAAATTTATGAAGAAATGACAATCAAACAGATATTTTTTTCCTGATAAAAGTGAGCACAACACTTCACTGTCTCTGCAAGCAGAGATGTTAATACTGTAAAATATGCAGTGTATTTGAATTTCGACAGCTGCAGACTTGTCCTCAGATGAAATTATCTAATCTACCTCTGTTTATACCAGGTGAGGATACTGGACATTTGGTCCATCTGTCCAGTGTTGTGTATATTCATTCATCACTTTCTCACATCTCCAGTATTTTAATTCTTGTGTCACCAAATACTATCACATTTATGTGTCATTACTTACAGAACGTAAGGACAGAGTTTGAACCACACAATCAGACTTCTTTTAGTTGCTTAACACAGATACTGAACAACCCTAGAAATTATGGCAGGACTTTTCTATCTTCTGCTTTATTCTAATCAATCTGAGGTTTGGGGTTGGTTTTTGGTTTGGGTTTTGTTTCGGTTTTTGTTTTGTTGGGGTTTTTTTTTTGGGGGGGGGGGGGGGAGGCCCTTTCACTGATTTAACAGTTTGCCTGCCTGATTTTTACTGGATTGGACTGTTGTCATAAATAAAAATAGCTCCATTTCAGACTACCAATCCCTTAATCAAACCATTACTCAGTACTGTGTTATGGATCTACAGATGCACCCTCAGAGAGTGACATTCTAGCTTTGCAGTGCACAAATGATAGCTTGAGTCATACGTAAATTAACACATAAGACTACACAGCCAATTTAGGTTGGAACGGACCCTGGAAGGTCGCTTAGTCCCTGATGACTAGCAGGAAACAGACATGTTTCTCCAGGCTTCTGGGGCGTTTTGAGTGACACTATGTAAGTAGGAAGTTCTTTTCTTCCAGTGTTTGTTAAGAAATACCTCAAGAATCTGCTGTAGAGATCACAGGGGGCCATCTTACTAACTCGCTCATACAACAGCTTGATGTTGGTTTTGCCCCTTGCATTGAGGAGCCGCACGCTGCTGTCAACGCCCAGGGCACTGCAGGGTCCCACAGCTGCTGAGGCGATGCATACGCACGGCCTGGCCGGCCGCCCCGGGCATGCGGTGAAGCTAAGCGGGATGGATTTTCATCTAAACTTATTTCTTTGTGCAGCACCGGCCATTTCCACAACTGCAGCGACAAGACAACGCGCCGGCACAGCAGCACGAAACACTTCCGGGAGAGTACAACAAGAACAAGATGGCGGCGGGGCCCCCCCCCCTTCCCGCCTCCTTCCCGCCCGCTCGCCGGCGTTCCCGACACGCACCGCGCTCTCCATCACAGCCGCCCGCTCTCCCTATTGGTGAGAGGCGGTCTCCGCGCGCCGCGGCTGCGCCCGCGTCTGGTGCCCGCTCAGGAGTCGCCGCGCTCCGGCGGCGCGATGGCGCTGGAGGCGCGGAGGATGGAGGGCGACGTGGAGGACGGCGAGCTCTCCGACTCGGACTCCGACATGCCCGGCGCCGGCTCTCCCGGGGACCCGCAGCAGGTGAGGAAGGGGACGGGCAGGCGGCGAGGCCCGGGCTTCAGCCGGAGCCGCGCCACCCCTGGCGGCGGGCCGCGGAAGGCCCAGCCGGGAGAGGGCCGCAG